GGGAGAAACTACAAGTCCCGGAAGATCGGAAAAGTCGTAAAAACACAAGAAATCAGCGAAACTCAGCGCGCCGCGCGAGACGGACCAAACCGACCCGCGCCGGCGCGGGTCGGACAAAGCCGCCCCGCGCCCACGCGGGTCGGCCAAGGCCGACCCGCGGCGGCGTGGGTCGGCCAAGTCCGACCCGCGGCGACGCGGGTCGGACCAAGCCGACCCGCGCCCGCGCGGGTCGGTCATGGCCGACCCGCGGTGGCGCGGGTCGGCCAAGTCCGACCCGCGCTCGCGCGGGTCGGATCGCGCCGACCCGCGCAAGCGCGGGTCAGACTTGTCCTGCGCGCACTGTTTTGACCCGGTTCGGTTTTTGATGGTTTTTCTCGAGATTTGTTGGTTCCTGAGCATCCAAACTGCCTTGATATCATCTACAAATGACTGAAGATAGAGCCAAATCACTTGTTCTCATCCAAATAACCGCATTCGAGGCCTATAAATATGAGTCTAGGGCCTCCTTTCAGCGGGGGCGATTGATTATCAAGACGAGGAGGTGCTGCCGGATTGTGGAGTCAAAGGAGCACGAATTTCTGCGGGGGTTGACAGATCTTGGCGGGTTCTTCGGCATAAAGAAGGAGAGTTCGAGAGATCCGACTCTCGTTCCCGTCCGTCCCTTGAGATTAGGCTTGGTCTTAATCTCGAGAAGAGCCCTGATTTCGCTTGGTCGATTTCAGCGCTTCAAATCAAATACTTCCTTGGCGAAGGCGAAGCTCTGCCGAATTTTCCATCAACCGGATTCAGATCTAAGGCGGTCCACGGATAAACCCCGGCACAGGCAAAGATCCCACGCAAGCAGAAGACCGATAAACGATCTCTGCGTTTGTTTTGATGAGAGTTGTAAACTTTTGTTTTCATTGTGTAAAAGTCTTATAAAAAGACAATCTTTTTTTGTTTTCATTGTAACGATTGAAGTTGTAATGAATACCGCAATGAATACATCAATTTTCGACGCAAACACTAGGGAGAGGTTGTATCCGAGCACTTGAGAGAGACACGTCTAGTTCCAACACTTAGTGGGTGTAGAGTGGGATTACAAGAGTGTTGATTGTAAAGTTTTCGGTTAGCTAGAAAACCGAGTGTGAGGTGTAAACGTTATTCGGGTAAGCATAGAAAACCCGGTTGTGATAGTGGATTTCTCCCCAGGAGTGCGGAGCGGAGACATAGGACGGAAGGTCCGAACTCCGTGATCATTTGAGTGTGTTTGAGTTTGTCATTGGCGTATTTGCTTATGCATTTATCTTATATCGCCTATTGCATATTACTCTTGTATTTTTTTTCCCTATCACATTTATAGTTTGATCATATTAGTTGCCATTGTGTTAGTTTACATATCCTTGCATATATCATATTGTATATCTCTTTAGTAGGATATATCATCTTGTGCTAGTTTATATATCCTTGCATATATTTTTATCATATAGGATATATCTCTTTATTCATATTGCTTATTCTTGCTTATAATTCTTGTATATCTATCTTACAAGAATATATTTATTAATTAGTTTTAATTAGCATAAAATCAGATTAATTTAGCATAAGACCCTAATCACCCCCCCTAGGGTCTGACAATAACCTATCAGATAAGGCTCCTAAGATTCTGTATAGATAATGATACTCTATTTCTTGAGGTGTTCTCGGGATAGGAATGGAATCTGTGGAGGAAGATGAGGAAGATTGCCTAGTAATTGGTCTAGATGAAGATGGATTGTCTGGTTCTATGGTTGTTATTAGATTTAGAGTTGTTAGCCAAAATCTCATTTGGTTTTGCCGACGACAGAAATTGTTCCCATCAAACTTCTCTGGTTTAGCCGACATAATTTCTCTTGTAGCCATAATCTGATGATGAATGAATAATTTTGTTATTATAATGCAACAGATGTGATTTAAACATTCAAACAACAGAATCAAGTGTAACATGACAGTTTTATAAGACGTAGACTGTATTAACATAACAAACATAATACTAAACATAATACTAAAGATGCTAAACATGATATTATTCTAAACAGCTCAATTAGATTCTTGGATTATTAGGAACATTAGCTGTTTAGACAAATATTAACGTGAATTTTAAATAGTTGATTATTAAATCAGATAATATCAGATCACTATTGTAACTCAGAAATGAAATTGAATCAAAAGAAAATAAATGAAAGTTAGAAATACAGCCTGATGGTCTAGGTAGAAATACAGCCTGATGGTCTAGGCGTGTAAGGCACTGTCCCAAGAATCTAATTACCCTCTCTCGTACAGGGCTATGTGGCAAAAGTACTCGGAGATACAACGACCCTCGGTCAGACGACCTCCTTCTCATCGGCACAAGCTTCAAGAAGGCTTTGCGAATTCTTCTCGACTTTCAGGGAACCAACAATGATTTAACAGCAAGAACACGAAGATGAAGAACAGAGGAGGAGAGAAAATGTAGTGTTTTTTCATTGTATTCAAACTCTTGCAGGTTTAGGTCCTTTTATAGGGGAAAAACAACCGTTATTCATAAATTCACAATTAATATATATTTTAATTACTCGCCTATTTATCACGTTTTTAATCACGTTAATAAATCTTAGCTGTTACAAAATATTTCCCTTACAAAATAAATCCGCAAAATATTTATCACGTTTCCGTTACAAAATATTTCAGTTACAAAATAAATCCGCAAAATATTTATCACATTTTTGTTACAAAATATTTTTATTAATCACGTTTTTAATCTGCATTATATTAATTATGTTTTAGTTATTCCAATTAGCAAAAACAAAATATAGCAGGTTAAGAGCCCCTCAATCAAGAGCTGCATTCGTATCTGCAGGTCGTGTGCGCACGCCACCCGACCCGACCCGAACCCGAGCCCGGCCCGACCAGCGCGCGCGTGTGTGGTGTGGAGCATAACCTTTGTTTTCTTCTAGGCATAAGAGAGAAGTGAAATGCTTATAAACACCATTCCTTCCTATTCCATTTCCTATGTGGGACTAAATTTTCTCACTACAATGTTAAGTTTTAAGTTACACTTTATTATAACTCCGACATGTATTAGCTTCCCAACTCATGCATGATTGACTAGATATCAAGCTGACCCTGTAGGGAGGGAAAGAAGCCATGTCTATGAATTTTTTGGCTCGACCTACAATGGGAAGAACAGCCAGGGCTTCCATCGCCTCTTTGCTAAATCGAAGAACGGAAAAACGCACTTAATTACTTGTGATGAAATCGACCAAAAAATGACATTGTTTATGCTAATAAATATTTATTTTATTTATTTTATTGCTCATTGAATTATAGTATAATTCTCAATACTACTTAGTAATATATTATTCTATTTATACTAGTATTTTAAATATTTTATTATAATTCATAAATAGTTATTGTAGTAATTTAATTGGTTGCTACTAATAATTGTATATACTTATTTTATAAATATTTTATTATAATATTTTTAAACAATTAATAATCATAATATTATTAATAATTATAATTACTTAAGAAGGTGAGAATGTGCATAATTAATAAGAGTTTATATTTATTTAATGAAAGATTTATTAGAGATAATGTCATAGTTAGAATTTATCAAAAATTGAGAGGGTAAAAAAAAAAATAAAAGTTCTAACACCTCAATCATCTTTTTATAGCAGCATAGATTTTTTTCTAATTTCTTTTTTCTTTTCAAAATTTTTGCTAAATTAGTATCTCTACTTCTTTATTACTAAAGGAGAACAACAAAACATGTAATATGAACAATAACCTAAGATTATAAACAATAAAAAAAATTAAATGAATAACCAACCCACATTCTCCCACGTTTCCCCCATATCAGGTGCAGTTTTCCCTTTCCTCATTTTCTTAAAATCTCCGCTTCGTCTTCTTCAACTTCAGACATCGTATTCTGCCTTGAGAACTCAAGCTCCGTTGTGGTTTCCCTTTCCCCATTTCATCTTCTTCCCTCTTCAACAAATTCTCATTTCATCTTCTTCCCTCTTCAACAATCCTGACCCCAATCACATTAGCATCATACTTTTCCTCAGCAACAACATTGACATTAGTATCAAATCTCCTCTGTCCTCAACCGAGTCCAGCGCCGCTGCCTCCTCTTCAATCGGTAACATTCTCTCTCTCACTCTCTAAAAATTTCTCGCCCTAAAAATGTTTTGATTTTGTTCCAAATCACCTCTACTGCGGTTCTTTGTACCCTGGTTCGGACTCAAATCAATCCGATTTAAAAACCAAACATAGGGTTATCTAGGGTTCATTCTAAATCTAGGGGTTCCTCCATCGAAACAAGGGGAGGTTTCAAACCCTAGAAGGTACATAGATAAGAGGCATCAACCGAGAGATCTCAATCTTATCCCCTTTTGTTCTTCAGTTTACTGCATTAAGTTCACAGAGGCTCCTCAGTCTTATCCCCTTTTACTTAAGTCTATTCCCAAAGGCTCCTCACTAATATTGTTTGCAGAAGTGTAAGAGTGCTCATCAAAATTTCGTTTTTATTAGCTTTATGTAGAGTCACTATTACGCTTTGAAGGAGGATCTCCATATATTTACACTCTTTATGGATTAGGTGAACTCCCCCAAGTTTGAACTCATAAATTTTCTTCTTCCATTGATTAGATTTCGACAAAATTTTAGATGTCTTATGCATCCATTGATTTGTCCTTTGCGGGGATTTGCTCGCTTAAGTGTTGTTTACGGTGGTACCTATATGCTTAACAAACCAGAATGCAAGGTAAGAAAATTAGTTGCTAAGAGGGAAATTGAAAGAAAAGGGCAATTTTTTATGCATACTAATAATTTAAAATTTTGAAATCAATTTTTGTGTGGTTATTGGTGATCTTTTGTGCGCAGATTAGACAATGCTTCATTGATGATGATGATGATGATGGTGATGTTTACAGATTTAGTAGGACATAAAACAAATTTAGTCGCATAGATGGGTCTGTCTGGTTTTTAAGGGTTAGGCATCGGATTCTTTAAGATGTTGTTCAGATCTCTCTATTTTTTTGGAGTCAGATTTTGAACTTACGATTTCTTTATTGTAGAGCCAAATTCAATGGAAGAAGAACTTACATAAGAAAAAAGCAGATTTTTTTAATGTCTTTATATGAATATCCTCATTGGGCGATTGATAGGAATAACAAACATATGTGGAGGTTTTTTTTAGGCGGGATCTGAAGATACTAAATGAGCGTCTAATCATGTTAAACGGGGGGAAATGTGCAAACCTAAATCGCAAGGAGGGGTATGGATTCTCCACTTAAAAACTATGAATAAAGCTCTTCAAGGTAAATGGCTTTGGAGATGGATGTGGTGCTCCAACAGGGATTGAGTGGGAGTCACATCCGCTGGTCTCGGCCCGGGTATCAACCCTTCCAAAGAAAAACTCGCCCTCCATCAAATAAAAAAAAAACAGTTTTTACGGGGTACACCCGCGCTTAGGAGAAGAATTCTGTCTGACTGACCCTACTGAATGACTGAGCTATGCCATTCTGGAAGTCTTTCTTTGAGCATGCCGTGGAAGAACTACAACGCTGCTGCGTTGGCTAAGTTGTTTGCCCGAAGCTCTGTTCCTATCACGCAAGAAAGAGACATCTTTAACTGACATGGATCTCTTTCGGTCTCAATTCCCGTATTTCAATCTGGTCGGAAATAATTCCATATATTTTTACATGTCACTGAGCGATCTCCCTCGTATGGCAATGCCAAAGCAAAAGAGTAAATAACACATCAGTGTTGTGGAGAGACATTGTGTATAATACCTATTAATCTAATGTGGATAATTTGAACTGTGTGTGTCATAGCAGGTTTATCTGTCAAAATTTTGGAAAAACATCATGTGTCATAACATGTTTATCTGTCAAAATTTTGGAAAAACATCATCAATAATTTTAATAGCTTTATTTGTTGCAACTCATCTAATCTTAGGAAATTGATTTGTCCTTTGCAGGGATTTGCTTGCTTAAGTGTTGTTTACGGTGGTACCTATATGCTTAACAAACCAGAATGCAAGGTAAGAAAATTATTTGCTAAGAGGGAGATTGAACGAAAAGGGTAATTTTTTAGAAGGAACCACGAAAATGATGATCATTTGACCTTCCAATGGGGAAGTTTCAACCATTGTTTGCTGTTTTGGATGACAGGTGGAGTTTGACGAAAGCGGAAAGGCTTATGGTGTAACATCTGAGGGGGAGACTGCTAAATGCAAGAAAGTAGTCTGTGATCCTTCCTACTTACCTGCCAAGGTATATATACTAAATATATATCCATTAAAAAAGATTCTCATTGTTAAATTTAAACTTATTTTTAGTCTGTCCTTGAACTTTTAAGCTGAAAACTCTCTATTTCAACAGGTTCAGAAAGTTGGAAGAGTGTCTTGTGCAATATGTATAATGAGCCATCTCATCCTAGATACCAGTGATTCACACTCGGTGCAGCTTATTATTCCGCAGAAACAATTAGGACGCAAATCTGACATGTATGTTTCTTTATTCCCTTGGGATGTATATGACTTCTAAATCTCATGTTTGCTATGACTTATTAGTTATAACGAATAATAATATTAATGGCAATAGTAGTGGCAACAATAAATGGAGTGGTTCTCCTGACCGAATCCTTTAAAGACCCTGTATTACTTTTTTACTTCGATAAAGGAGGCATATCTAGAGGAGGCATATCTCCTCTCAAAAACTATTTAACTTAATTTACCTAAGTAAAAGGGAATAAGACTAAAAATAAGCCACAGAGGATAAGACTAAAAATAAGCCACAGAGGCTCCTCGGTCTTATGCCCTGTATTATTATTTAACTCAATTTACTTAAGTCTATTCTAGAAGATAGCCACAGAGGCTCCTCAGTCTATTCCAAGTAAAATTTCATATCATAGCTTTTGAATTGTAAATTTCAGAAGTTGACAAAGCTCACCGAGTTTTTAATTTAAGGTACCAAAATTATAATGGAACGTGTATTACATTTATCTATAGTTTGAGGATATTTGCATCGTTTTGAGCAAGCTAATAGCAATTTCAACGATTTGAGGGACTACTTTCATTAAATCATTAAATTAAAGAATTAATGAAAAGTTTGTGAATAAATATAGATTCTTGAATAAGAAAGAGAAATATAAAGTTAAAAGAAGAGTGAGTTTCATTGCAATTTTACTTATTAGTTTTGATATTAGTCCCTTAAATATTTTTTTTTGAATTATTCCCTTATATGTTAAAACTACTATTAGGTTCCCCAATTATTAAAATTAAACCTTCACATTATTGAAATCGTTATTAGGCCACCAATTTTCGTAAGGTGCTTTAAATAACCCTTCGAAATGCTACTTCTGCTTTTAATTGGAGGGATTGATTTGAAACAACTACTGAGATTTTGGGAAACTATTATCAATTTCAATAAAACAAGGGGCTAATTTCGATATTATTTAGGAATAAGAACACCTAATAGCAATTTCACTGATTTGAGAAGCCGGTTTCAAAATATTAAATATTTAAGGGACTAATATTAAAACTTGATATTATTTCTTGCTCATCTTTTCTTTTTTAAAATTCTAATTAGTATTTCGCAGATGAATGGATTCTAATTATTCGGTTCACTTCCACCACTATACTTCATATCTAAAGCAGAATACTTTATTTTTGTAACATGTTCAATATTTACAGAAAATCTTTTAGAAACCATGCTTTGCACGGGTCTAAATACTAGTATAGTTTAAAGGACAAAAGATTCACAATGATTTGAGTGTTTTCAGTAACCCAAAATGATTATAAATATTCATCAAAATACTAAATGGAACTTAGAAAATCACTACTACTATTAAAATTACAACTCAAAAAATCTAGAGGTTAGAATTTTTAATTGAGTTGCTAGCAACATGCATCAAAATATAACTATTACCTAAGGTGGTCAAGGCCAAGTTAAGCCAACCGAGCCTGATGTAGGCTAATATAACTATTGCCTAAGGCGGCCCAGGCCAAGTTCGGCCAACCAGGTCTGACATGGGCTGGGTCGTGCTACTTCTTTGTTCGCAGGTTTAGAGTGGAGCCCAATCTGACCCATGGGTCAGGTATATCACTGCCAGGTTGGGCCTGACCTGTTTGTGTGCCAGGCTGGGTCTTGACCCAAGGCGGGATGGGTCGGTTTGGCCCATGGGTTAAACTAGCCCACTCCTACCCCTAAGATGATCTTTGTTACATTATTGTATGGATTTAAAAGCTGCAAAGTTGCTATTCGCTAACACATTTCGGTCTTTTTTTTTGTTCGGATAGGAGTATGATAGATTGATTTTTTAATTATTAAAGTTTTTTTTGATAATTTTTTTAATTTCCCAAAAAATTAAGCAGGGTTAGAGAGGTAATTTGCCTTTAAAAATGATAAAAAACTAACAGTAGTTAGATTAGAGATAAGGTCAAATTAAATAAACCAAGCAAATTGAGAGATAAATTTAAAATTATGATGATTTGAAAGGCCAATTTAAAAATGCCTATAATCTAGGGGGTATTTATCTAAAAACCCCAAAAAAGAAGCTGAACCCATTTGAATGTGAAAGCCCCGGCACCCGAACCAAATTTGTCTTTTGCACATTTCCAATCATGTAGTTTGTACTATATTCAGGGTTAAACAGAAAAAAGTCAAAAGAGGAAAAAGGCCAAAATTTTAAAATAGATCTCATTAGTTATTTATTTTTAAAAATAACCCCTTTGAGATTTAATTACCATTTTCGACTCAGTTTCAGCCACTTGGCTAAAACTAGGTCGAAAATAGCAAATAAAATTTGAAAATTTCATGGGATTTAAAATCACATGTAGTGCCTGATTAACCACGCTAATGAAGCTGTAGAAGTTCAAAATTTTCATAGGATTTAAAATCCCATGAAGTTTAGTGCCTGATTAACCACGCTAAACTTCACAAAATTTTAAATCCCGTGAATGGCGGAAACCAGGTCAAAAAATGGTAATTAAATTTTAAAGAGATCGAATTTTAAAAATAAATTTCTAATAAGATTTTTTTTGAAAATTTATCAGAGGAAAAAAGGGAGAAGAGAGAGGAAGGTAGCGTTTGGTTCAATTTCTATAAACTATAGGAAAAGGAAAACACCCAAAACATAGATTTCCTTGTATTTCTTAAAAAGATTATAGAAAAAGTTTTGAGAAATCAAAAAGTACTAATTTTTTATTTTTTGTACTTTGCTTGTTTTGTTCAAAACAAGAAAATGAGCCCATTACTTTATAGAAATAGCAAGTTTTCATTTTCTTTTGTTTGATTACATATGCCAAATTTATAAAAAAGTACCAACTACCATATTTATCACTTTATAACGGCTAGTTTAATGCCTAATTTTACATTCTTAAATCTTATAAAATCATTCTATCCTCAACTATCCATGAACACAAAATTTCCACAATTGAAAAACATGAGTAAAAGTGCTAGAGACCGTGGTGACTCGTCAAGTTCATCAAATACAAAGATATGTATTTTGGTTAGAAAAAACTACAAATTCTATTAATATTTTCCCAATGACCAGAGTCTATTTTTTCCTTTTTTTGTAATCAGCATGCTCGAAAAATACCGCAAAAACCAACATATGAATAATTATTTTCATATACAGATGAAGATCGAGAGTGTGATGAGATGGGGGATATAATGGAAGAAGCAAAAATAATGCTAAGAGCCAATGCTTTGAAAGTTAGAGACCAAAACAGGTGGTGGAAGTGTCCTTATTGCAATGATATCCCCTACACAAATTGGAATATGAATGATCTCTTAATTCACACGCATGATATTGGTAACAATGAGTCTATGCCCAACATGGGTAAAGAGGGGATTGGCCAGCATCGTGGACTAGAAGTTTATTTACTTTGGTTAGACCGAAATCAATGATTTAAATGAATCATGTACCACTTTGGCAATTTCATGAGCGTAATTTGATATTTTCATGTAGAAATTTGGCTTAGCTAATGGTCTTTTATCAAAATTGATTGCCTCAATTGAAACGTACAAGTTCACCTAGATTGAGTTCTAATAACGTAGTAAAGAAAGTCTTATCTTATTATGAATATTGTAAATTAGTTTGCAATCTTATTTAGTTGACCATCATCATTCCCAAAAGCTCAAACCCAACAATATAGAGCTAAACAAGTTCGGAATCAGCATAGTAAAAAAAATAGCTACAACAGCTCGACAACGAGCACGAGTATCAACAAAAAACTCCACAATATAGAGCTAAACAAGTTTGAAATCAGCATAGTAACAAAAAATAGCCCCAACAACTCGATAACGAGCACGGGTATCAACCAAAAACTCCACAATATAGAGCTAAACAAGCTCGAAATTAGCATAGTAACAAAAAAAAACCCAGCCCAACAACTCGACAACAAGTACGAGTATCAACCAAAACCCCCCACAATATAGAGCTAAACAAGCTCGAAATCAGCATAGTAACAAAAAAAAACCCATAGAACGCCGACAAACGAAGGAGGAATGAGTTTGGGGGTGGGAATAATCGAGGACGAGAGCTGTAGGTTAGGAAATCTTGAGCGGGAGAATGAGTTTGGGGGCAGAAACGAATGAGGATGTCCTAGAATTTTTTCGACTTCTAGCGGCCACAAGAAAAGTTTTCAGCACATTTAGAGGGTGGCAATATGGTTATGGGGATAGGTTTAATAAGTTAATAATGAGTTTGTTAGTTTTTTGGGTGTTTTCCACTCATTTTGAGTGGAATTTTTTTTTTGTAAAATTGTACAGTTTTCTATACTTACAGAAAAGTTTTATGTAAATTACTAATTGAATCGCACACACTTTATAGAAATAATAAAAAAAATTATTTACGAAACTGCCATTCTCTGATCTTTTCTCAAAACCTTTCTATAAAAGACCCAAACCAAACGCCCCGAAGAGGAAACAATCATTTTCCCCCTTGTCTCCTCTCTCTCTCTCTCATCTCGTTCCTCTCCCGCCATTGATCCCCAAGCATTGACCTCCCGCCATTTATATCTCTAATTCACTGCTAATTTTTCCCGCGGAATCGGGAGGCCTCCTCCTCCTTCCTCGATGGGTTGCTCCTCCTCTCTCCCAGGTCTCCTCTCTTCCCCCCGCTCCTTTTTCCTAGGGTTTGTTTTCACGACTCCCTAATTCTATCTTTTTTTGATTAATCAAACGTTTTCTTCGTGTTAGTTGAACCTATATCTGCAATCTTCCCTAAATTTTCGAATGATCCGCATGGAATTCTCGATTTTTTTCGTTTTTTGGGTTATTTGCGCTTTAATTCCCTGAAATTAGGAACCAAATTAGGGCTTTGTGGATATTTAATTGTCAAGATAGAATTTTTGGGTTTTTATTGCTAATTGGATTCAGTTTGGAAACTTTTTCAGTAATTCTTATTGGATGGGAATTCATTCACTGATCAGTTAATGCAGTATGCTTTTCTTTCTGTGATGTATCTATCATATCTGTCTTTATGCTTTCGTCATATGTCAAAAGAAGGCATAAAATTGCTGTTGACTTTTTCGCGCATTATTTTGTGCTGTAGAGTTCGTTTTGTCATTGTCGTCATATACCTTGGTTATTGAAATTCTCCTAGTATTTGGTAGAGTGAAGACAGTGATGTATGGTAATCAAGCTGACTGATTTGTTTTATGTCCAACTCCCATTTTCATATTGTACTTAAGAAATCCTGCATCAAATACCAGGGAGCAAAATGGTGGTGGTTCACTTTATTTTTACACTATATTGTTCACAATATTATCTTGTCTGAGGATCAAGTATCTTGCACCTTTTTAATCATCAAGGTTGTCTCGTAATGCTAGCTTTTATTGCATGATTGACTTTTAGCCTGCAAGGAACTATTATTTATTTCTTTCCTCCATTTTTTATCATTACAACATTACAATATTAATTATCTGTAGTTTATGAAAGCAAATTTGCTGATATTCTATACGGGTAGTTTTATCAGACCTGTGAATGGCCAATTGGTTAATTTTCAACATAAATGCAATTCAGTTTATTGTTATATCGAAACTCCTCTGTTTTTCATTTTAACTGCAATTCCAGTGTAGAAATTTTAGATCAGAAAATATATTGCAGAAGTTAAGAGGTGAGATATCTTTGTTTTGTCAGACAGGAAAGCTGGACGTTTGGACAGTCTGAACAGAGAGAATTCTGCAGCTACTGACTCCAAAAATTTGCGTGTCAAGGTACCTAGTTAGTTTTCTCATCTTGACAACTTGGACTAACTTGTCAAGGATAGTTTTATTGATTAGTAACTTGATATCAAGGTTTTAAATATCGGATATTTGGTAAATATCGGACATAAAAAAATTCATATCGGGTTGCAGATAACGGGGAAATATTAGAGACATGTAGTGAATATTGAAATGCCATATTGGATGATGTGCAAATATAATTTTGTCCTAGAATATAATCGAAGCATGCTTAATGAAATCTAAGCATAAAACTATAATAATATATGTTTAGAATCACTAACTAATTATAGAAACTTATTTATGGAAAAGAACCTACTAAAATTTGTTGAAGAATTTTAAAGAAATTTTATAGAACTATATTGTTTTTGCGGCAAGCCATATAAAAGGACATATCAAGCAACATATCGGCCATGTCATGATATATCGCCCCAAAATTGGTAAAAAGCGGTAAAGGATATTGCGACCATGTTGTTTTGCGGTAAGCCTTATAAAAGGATATATGATGGATGTTTAAAACAATGGTTGATATTGTGTCCCCAAGGACAACGTTCTGCCTAAATGTTTACCTTGTATAGTTCAAGCAGAAACTCCTAGTTTGCTTGTTGAACTTGGGTGGTCAAAATTGGGATTGCAAGTCAATTGAACTGCAAGTAGCTATATTGTTACTATTTCTCCACTGCACGCGGTGCATGCATGATGAAGTACACATTTGTGTGAAATTTAGAAAATGCTATTAACTGGAGTGTTGACCGGAGTCTTCCAGTCAAGGGGTAATTTCATTAAACCCCCTTATCTTTGGAGGGTTTTGCACATACTTCCCTAACTTTTTAAAAAGAGTTTGCAGAAATGATAACTGAAAGAATAAACAATGTGCATAAGGATAATTTTCAAGTTTCCAAATTTTTTTGTAATAGATAGGATCTGATGTAATTCGGTAATATTTTTCTAAATATGGACTTCTACGGGAACTTATTTGGCTATGAAAGAATAGCAAGAAATCACCCCTCTATAAATTTATGTTATTTAGAATTGGTTTAACTCATTGCTGTCACAGCATTCATCAAAGCAAGACTTCACGAGCCTTGCACTAAATCAAGAAAGACTTTTAGATCCAAACTCTCAACAAAGTAAGAAACATTCTAAATCTTTTTGTATTCAGAATTGAAGGAGGTAGTGCAGGAGATTTGATATTAAGATGGAGAAGATGAAGGTTTGGTTCATTTTTTGAGGTTGTTTCATATTGCGAACGTGATGGAGAAATGTAGTTAAGGTTTTGAAATAATTTGGCTATAATATAAATGTGGGGAGGTGGTTGGTTAAGTTTTTTAATAGAGTAATAGATTTAGCTTGAAATTTGGATTGTGAGGGCACTGTTCGATGAAGTAGTTTTTGTTCTCCGTATATACTGTTCTAAAATTATGGGGATTTGTGAGTATATTTTCCTGGGATACATTTGGAGTTTTTATGTAAGTGTGATGACACAGGTAGAACACCAGAAGATGGGTTTTCTTAAATAATAGTATAGATGTTTTGTTATCGTGCTAGGTGTACTAATTGGTGGCCTCTATTTTTTGATTTCTTCTGTGATTATCTTAATGCTTTTAGCATTATTTCTGATTTTTTGTCCCTATGATAACTTGTATCTTGAGTAGTGCAGAAGACTAAAGCTTAGGAAGTATACAACCTTGTGTGAAACCAATTTCTATTTGTTGGCTATTTGCTTGATGTAAATTTGATCACTTTATGCTTTCTGCTCTGATCATGCTTCTTGTGGAATTTTTTGGCCTGCTTATATAGCTTTTTGTCTGCATTTTAACTTATTTTATATCTTCTTTTGAATGTACAATGCAGCTGGTATTGCTGGGAGATTCAGGTGTTGGTAAGAGCTGCATTGTTCTTCGCTTTGTTCGGGGTCAGTTTGATCCTACTTCCAAGGTAAACCCTTTTAGATCAGTTAGGAGTCGTCTTCCTATCAATCTGTTGGTCTTGTAGATGCTTCGGATTAATAAAAAAAAATGTTACCTTGCTACTATTTCCTGCATAAATCCTTTTTTTGTTTTATCTTTGGAGAGCCATTGCTAAACTTTAGAACTATTGTGTCCCTTCTGCCTCTATCGTACTCCTACCCAGAGGGCTCTTCCTTACTTTATACTCAATTGAATTATGTGTAACTTTGTGTGAATGCGTTCATTTCTTATACAGCCATAAGTATTTTTCCGACTATCCATTTCTACATGTTCATTTCAGATACTGCCGATGTCTATTTTCCGCCAAAATTTTGAACTGTAAACTGAACTGCTTGTGTAGTTGTCTTAGGAAATCTTCCCATTAAGTCAGTAGATATCCTGGTCTCGTAGCACATTGTAAGAACGTATCTGTTTTAATCATTATGTCGTGATTCTATGCCCATCAACTTTACTGAAAATGTCATGTATCGTTATGTGTGTATTGGGTAAAACATTGTTAAGATATTCTCCCTGTACAACTTATTACGGTCATCTGGTATTAGGCTGCAGCCATTTGTAATGAAATGGAATCTTAAGAAATTGAAAACCAAAAACAAAGAAAATAAAAGAGCTTATCTGATGTGTAGTGATGGGATACCACAACTAAAAAACATCAAATGAGTATTAACTAATTAGTTATAACATGTTCATACTCTTATGCTGCAAATTGGACATTGATATATGTTGATTACTCTGGTTTTTAGGTCTCATAACCCATCAAAAGTAGCATGTTCCAAATATATGGCCAACATCCCTCCTTTTCCCGCTATGATAGTGAATTATCTTAAGTAGCAAAATGCTCACTCTTATGTATTGCTTTCCACCTTGTTTATTTTTATTAATCTACTTTAGTTACCTTTTGTGCATCCCCATTTTGCTTATCTATTTTACTGTTTCAAACCTGGGAACATCTGCATATCTTTAACTTTTCTCTAGTCTAATAAATTTATACAACGGCATCAGCAAAAGACTTCTCCATGAAATCTCATCTCCTGTATGCTTCATAAGTTCGTTTATAACTCAAAGAAAAGAGACAAGTTAAATTTCAGATTCAAAATGATAGCCTACAATTTATTACAATTTAATCACTTTTTAGTTTAGAAAAGCCATTATCTGTTTATTGATTGGTATTCATGGTCTTATTGTAACTGGTTTTAGGTAACAGTCGGTGCTTCATTCCTATCACAGACATTAGCCTTGCAAGACTCTACGACCGTTAAGTTTGAAATATGGGATACTGCTGGCCAAGAGAGGTACTTGTTTAAAGTGACCTTCTTTTAATTCCTTGTGTTATTGGTTTTGTTTAAGCAATCCTAAAGATCAAATAATATTACTATACTATTAGCTAATAACTAAAATCAGACAAATAACTTGAACATCAAAATCTAACACGAAAGTTGTCTATATCTTCTAGTTGTCGTCCCCGTCAGCTAACAAGAGAGGTGGACTTAGGGTGAAGAGGAGGGAGCAGTACAGTAAGAAATTGTAGGGGAAGAGATGAGAATGAAGGATAAAGGTGGAAGTGGAGACATTTATATAGAGAAGAGGGTTAGTGGCATCTCATAGGAGATTGCTGATGAGAGGGATGAATATGGGTTTAGTTTCAGGTCCGTGAGTTTAGAGGTGGATTCTTAAATATAATGAGTATTGGGCCTCCCTCCAAAATTATAAATAGAGACACGTGGAGAAACATGTGCTTAGCTCTTCCTTATTCTTCAATTGCTGGATTGTACAAGATAAAAGTAGGGGAAAATAGGAAGTATGAGTCAATAGTGAAGATTGTATTAGCTAATATTTAATAACAATGTTGAGTTGGAGTTAGTTGTTGATAAATTATTACTTCATGCTGACAATCCAGTTTTTTCAGAGAATAGAGAACCCATGAGGAAAGAGTAAAAGGGACATGGAATAGGCTGTCTTGTGTGACTTAGTCTTTAGATGTCTCTTTTTACAGACACTTGTGAGGTCAGAACATTATGTGACTACACATGATTTTACTTTCAAGTTATGGCTTTGAAGATCAGCACATACCAAATATAGTAACTCCATTTACATGTTAAGAAATTGAGGGGTTTAATAGAAGTCACACAACACACATTGACTTTATGTTATGTGTTCTAAGTCTGTGACATCTTTATCTCTGTTTTTTGGTTATTATTTTTGAAGCAAGAACTTTTGCGGTTGCATGCTTTAGCTATTCAAACAATCATTTGTTCTTGATATTGGCTCTTTTGGTCAGATATGCTGCATTGGCACCTCTTTACTATCGTGGGGCAGCTGTCGCAGTGGTTGTGTATGACATAACGAGTCCAGAATCATTTAGCAAAGCACAGTACTGGGTTAAGGTACTCTGACATCATCCATCCAAGTAACTAATAGTTGATATCTGTTGATAGATATTATATTAAAATTTTCAAAAGCTGATATAATTTGAATAGAGAGGAAAAAAGTTACATATGTATTCAACTATAGATGTCCCACAAGCTCACACTAGTACACGGTAATTGAGATAGAGGTGAAAACTTCCAGATACACAATTCTAAAATCACACGGGTTCACACCACATGATGAGTTGCACACCTTCATACATAATTACATACATATGCACGTGTGTATGGAAAGGCATATGAGTAACTACTCGAGGAAATTTTCCTTCACCGGTCCTTCAAAGTTGCATGGTGAGCTTCTCAATGGATGTATATTGTACTCTAGTGCTTTAGAAGACATGTGAATGAAAAATCGTGATGTAAAAGAAAAGGAGTACAAACTACGTGTATGAGAGAGGACTACCACTAGCTGCTGTAGGAAATTTCCTACGATTACTTAAAAGTGCACGATGGACTAACCCAATGGATGATCTCCCATCTAGCATGTTTGGAACGGTATATTAATAAAAAATCTTGTGATTTGAATAAACTTTTGATTTATATATCATGTGCATTTATTTGCTATATTTTTCATATACCAGTCATTTTTCAAACATTTGATGCATTGGTGGATAGTGTCCAACCCTCTTATTTTTGTTCAAGAAATATTTAAGAGGATTATGATCATGGTGAAAGCATGGTCTGTTGGGCACTTTGCGGGGTTTAGCATAGGAAAATTCTCATACAAACTGCCAATTTTCCATAATGGCATATATATAAACATGTGTGTAGTGTGCTTTATTTAAGAATAAGCTAAATGACCTGCTATTGGTGATTATTTGATTATGACTTGATGATCCCCGGATGCAATGAGTTTTTGTTCTAGGTAATTTATATTTTTAGTGGATCTAGAATTATAACTTGAGAGAAGAATCCTTAAATTGTGGTCGATAATATCCAAGTATTCTATACTATCAATAGTAATCTAACTCAACACTCTCTCCCCGTATGTGTGTGCAGCATCTTTAATATTTCTAAGGTATAAGTAGGCTGACCATGCCCACCTTCAAAAGTACATGATATTTCATCAGTTCGAATGAATTTTATCCGTTAATGTTGATTTACATGTCTTGAATGGCGAACAAAAAAATTAGGCATAGAGTTATAATTTCCCATGCCTCAATTAGTTGCAAAATTAATTAAGGTAATGACATTAAACATGGGCTTATTGAAACATCAATATTTTATTTACATGCGTTAAGATAAATAGATCATGATGAACGGAATGAATCATCCGTTAGCATAGTTTAATGCATCAAGAAGTCCCTTTAGTTGCAATGTTGTACTGTAAAAACCATTGATTTTTACAACCACTTGATGCATGGGTAATACATGCTTAAGATGCATGACTTTTCATTGTTTGCTTTTTTGAAACATACATATCTACTTGAATGTAGTTGATTTTCCAAATTTATTGCGTGATAAATGTTTTTGTAAGTGGGCATGACTTAGCTACCTATGCCCTACACACACAAAAGTTATCTTTTACTAATATCAATGAATTATTCTTAATAATTATTCTTAATGACACTTATTTTTGAAAGAGTGAATTGAATAAAGATTAAGATTTTCCTCTTTGTGAGTGAAACATTTTAGTTTATGTTTATGAACACCAGCGCAAAATCCTTCGCATTCCTTTTACTATAAACATCCTAGTAAACAGGAGAAGAGGAAATACAGTGCACGCTTTATTAAAAAAGTATCATATGTTTTATTAACATACATTTCCTTACACTTTGTCAGTATTACTACAGTTTCATGGGATGATAAGATTGGCTGTATTTGCAGTATGTGGCTATTTGGCTATATAATACTTGGTTGGTAGATGACTTCTATATTGCGTTACTAGCAACATATGATTACTTGAAATGTGGCATGGTCTTGTTATCTTTTGACACACACACACACACACACACACACACACACACACACAGTAATACTGCATTGATAAATAGCTAGTCATTTCCTGTGGTACACTTTGCCTCTCCCTGTCTCAACCGTTGATATTAAGGTTTTATGAAGTTTGACCTCTAACAGGAACTTCAAAAGCATGGAAGCCCTGATATTGTCATGGCATTGGTTGGAAACAAGGCTGATTTGCATGAAAATCGCAGTGTATCTTCTGAGGTAATCATACTTCTGAAAACATGCATCTCATTTATAGTAATTTATATTTTTCTGTTGTCTTGTAGTGAAGAACTAAGAGATCTGATAATTTATTTTTTGTAATTTGAAGGATGCACTAGAATATGCAGAGAAGAATGGGATGTTCTTTATTGAGACATCAGCAAAAACAGCAGATAACATCAACCAGCTATTTGAGGTAATCGCATAGAAAATTTGTGATGTTTGCTTTAACATTCAAGTCCTTAGTTTACAGGGAAGACCTCATGTGCCAGATGCATGCTGGTACTTTCTGGAATTTGCCCCTATGATATAGTAGATGGCCTCGTAATTCAAATCCTAATTGGGTTGGGGAAAAACATATAAATATTGTTAATGTTATTGAACCATATCCATTTTTGAGCATGGTTGTTTAAGAGCTCCCTTAACCAGACTATCGTGAAATGTATACCATCGCCTCTTCCTTTACAGTAGTAACTCTCTTGTGGATGTGTTCATGACTATGCAAAAAAAGACTTTCAGCCTGTTTTTTGAACTCATCGAAATATCAAAAGTATATTGGAGTCATCATAAGTTTGGCCTCTCTTCTATGTGAAGCAGGAATAAACAGGACACATAATTATTGAACATCTTTGATGATGGTGAATCCACGAAGGAAAAGAGGTTGGTTAAGTCTATTAACAAATGTTTAAATCATCATAGATTAACTCTTTTATTCAACTCTATGAAGTGTCCATAGTGGTTGATCTGCTCCAAATAATGACTGCAGCCTGCAGAAAAGTCATATGTACTTAACTTCCTTGATTGATGTCAAGGAAAGAAAGCTCATAGGTTAATCCATGACCAATCTGTTTATGAAGGGGATTTTATCTCCACCAGTTATTTCCTGTATTTACATTTCAGTCGTAAGTCAGAGGTAATCTCTGCAATTTGCAATATATGGCTCTCCATGGATTATGAGTGTTCTGGAAGCTTCTTGAAGGTCCCATGATCCATACCTCCTCGCTTTCTTCTCATAAAACTAATATTTAATAGCGATCTCGATTTGCTCTTTGCCTTAAACATATATGGCTCTTTAACATGAAGGCAGGAAGCTTTAGTCATTTCTACAGTTAGTTACTCTGTATTATATGTTATTACTCTGTGTTATCTGTTAGTCTAGCTGTTCTTTGTCCCGCCAATTCTCATCTATTGCACTTGTTCTTTCAAGCTGCTCCAGCATATATCAGGTGTAATCCCAAAAACGGTAACTTGAGGAGACTAGTTAACATTAGTTTTTTTAAAAATAAAACCTGGAAGTCTCCCTTTAGCCTGGAACTTAGTTGATCTTTAGATCAGGTTAAGCGGTCTGGAAATGTCAAATGTAATGGCTTTGCATATATCTAATCTTACCTCTATTAGGTTTCTAGATTTATGCATCCATTCAAATTAACTAGGATTAGACCTGGGCTAGTGATACAAGAAACATTGCACAAGATAAAATATATTCCCAAAATATTAGGATCTGTGCAGGTTGCGCACATACTTGTCTTAATATATTATTTCCTTTTGACCTCTTATAGTTTAGAATCAGCTTCTCTCTATCACCTTTCATACAGGAATCTATTTGTGTTAAGTTTAATGTCTTGTAGAGTGCTTAGTTTGCAGCAGTTAAGAAACAAGAGGCATCTACTCTATACTTATAGGAGGATCCAAAGAAGCACTATTCATGCTACAGTAAATTATTGTAGCGGAAATGCTTGTAGAGTGCTTAGTTTGCGATATCACTGTAGCATTTTACAAAAAATCTGTAGCATTTAGAAAAAGAATTACTGTAGCAGAAATAAAAAAGGGAGGGGTGCACACTAATAGTCCTTTGATGTCTGAAAATTTATTTCCGTGTAACATCACTATTCACTTAATGCTGTTGATACTTGGGTCTTCATGCTGGGTTTTCATCCTTTCCATCGAGTTTAGTTATATAGTTCTTGTTTTTTTTCGAACTTTATTTGCTGCCACATCATAGTGAACAATCAAAATCAATGAATGCTTTCTTTTTGCGAATTAATTTCCGTAAGGACATTAATCTGAAGTTGCTTCCTTTGTACAGGAGATTGCAAAGAGGTTACCTGAAAAGCTTTCAACGTCCACATCCTGAGGATCAGTTTTGAGTAAGTTATCTGCATCATCTTATACATAGTGATGAGTCGTTTCATGTATTGAAATAGTGAGTTTCCTGGTGAGCTTGTAATATGTACTATTTTAGAAGTGAAATTTCATTGGTATATTGTTTGTTCATAGAGTG